GGCTGGAGCCTAAGTAGTAGATAAGGGGCCCTGTAGCTGCCCAGACCCGAAGATCACTCTAAGGAGATCTCGCTGCCTTATATGGTGGTAGCTACCCTGGAGGAGTTCCATCTCAAGGTAGAGGGGGGCTGGAGGCTGATTATTTACTGCCTTTACTAAATAGGCCTAGTGTTGCCTAGGAAAGGAACATGCTAAGCTATTGGGAAGGGAGCTCATTGTGCTAACAATCAGTGTATTATGACTCTATATCCTCACCCTCCCTCTGGAATTCTCTTTTATCTTAATCCACAAGTCCCTCGAGACTACTGAAAACATATTAAGTAAAATAAAAGTTATATCCTGGTCTCTGGCCATAAACCTCTATAGTCTGGGCTTCCTTTTCGTTCCTAGGGCTCCCTCTGCTGGCAGAAGCTGTTCAAACTTTCAGCATCCTAAACCCAGAAATTTTTCTCTCTCGGCTCTCCTCCTCTCCTCCGTATTAACTGGATCATTCTGCAGGGCTGTGGTCAAGCTCTCAAACTTCATGGACCCTCCCATCAGACTGAAACAGGAAAATTAAACGTGGGAAAGACTTTCCTGCCTCATAAGGAATGTGGATATTGGGAAGCAGTGCTATGAGGCAGACAGGGAAAATGGGAGGCCCACATGATGGCCAAGACTGAGAGAGAGGAAGCTCTTAAGGAATTTAACTCCCCACCTTCTTTTCCTCACCCTCCCTCAAGATTTATGGGTAGATGGGGAAGCCACATGCATCTGCCTTCCAAAAACATGGAAAGAGGGGGAAAAGTGATACCAAAATAACTCACTGAATTTGGAAGCAGAAGCGGAGGGTTCCACAGCCAAACTCTCTCTTCAGTCAGTCATTGTCAGTTGTGGGCTCCTTTTCCAAAGCCTTGTGCCATGTTGTCTGGAACTGGACTCCATAAATCACGACTTCACAGAGGTGCTGCTGTCCTTACATTCTGTATTATGGGATCTTTCCCACTAGCTGAAAAGACGCTCCACCCAGCAGTCTGTCACAGACAAAAAGTTTCCTAATGTATTCTCTCGGTCTGTCTCTCTCTGTCTCTCTCTGTCTCTCTCTCTGTCTCTCTGTCTCTCTCTCTCTCCAACTCAGGTATTCCTATGGTTTCAACTTTAACTTACGTGGATTCAGTTTCCCAAAGGTCTCTCTCTCTAGCCCTAGGCTTCTCCAAAGTTCTCTCTCTCTCTCTCTAGCCTAGGCTTCTCCCCTAAGCTTTGAATACCTATGGGACACCTACCATCTATATATTTTGAGGACACTTCGTTTAGTAGCACTCATAAGATGCTTATTGAGCACCTACTGTATACCACATACAGTGCTAACAGGAGATGATCGAGCCAGCAAGCAAGATGGGCAGGTCCTTTGCCCTCCCAGAGCTGCAGCTATTGGGGAAGATGGAGCTAATGGGTTGAAAAAGGGATGAGTGAGATAGCAAGAGAAGTATCCAGCCCTGGGAGCATCTTGCCCAGGAGAGACAAGTTAGCATCCACACCGGTGTAGCTAAAAGACTTTCAAAGATCAAGAAGAACTTACAAAATTGAACTAGGAACTTGAGACTTTATCCTAAGAGCAGCAGGGAACCATTGAATCCTTTGAAACTGAAAATTGCACGGGTCAGCCACAGTGTGAGGAAATGAACGGATTGGAATCCACAAGGAAGGTCACTAGTGCAAGGTTGGCTGAAGGTGAACTGCCCCATGGTTCAGGCATAAAAGAGTTTATTAGGGACAGAACAAACTGCCAGCCCACAGGAGATGAAGGGGAAGGAAAAGGAGGGAGGGGACTATGGGTGAGTGGGATTATATAGGGAAAAGCATGAGGTGGGATCATAGCACGTGTGAAAGTGATCTCAGAGCCTGGGAAGCCTCTCACTGTCCCAGGGAGGGATGATCTGGTCAGTTCGAGAAGTGACCTCTGTAGATGAGGAAGTGACCTCAGAGCCTGGGGTCCATTGCTGACTCACAGTCAGGTGATTGACAGTCAGGTGATTACTGGGCTCAGGCGTGTGAAGAGGCCTGTCTTGATTTGGATGATGACCCTACAAGGCTTCCATTGTGTGTTGTATTTTGTTTTGCTTTTTAGTAGTGGGGCTTGAACTCTGGGCCTGGGCATAGTCCCTGAACTTTTTTGCTCAAGGTTAGCATTCTACCATTTGATCTACAGCACCACTTCCAGTTTTCTGGTGTTTAATTGGAGATAAGAGTCTCACAGACTTTCCTGACCGGGCTGGCTTTGAACCAGGATCCTCAGATCTCAGCTTCCTGAGTAGCGAGGATTATAGGCGTGAGCCACTGGGCACCTGGCCCCATTGTTTTCCTATGCTTCATAAACTGTTTTTATATGTTCTCTGGTTCATACTAAATATTTCATGGACATTTTTTTCTTAAAAATAAATGGTTTGGAGAAGGTGACATAGATGAACAAAGTTGCAAAAACAGAAAAATTGGTGGTCTGAGTGAGGATACTCACAATGTGGATAAGAATGCAGAAGTGCTTCTAGAGATACTTTGGGGGCAGATTGATGAGATTTAGTGATTAATGGAATATAAAGACATAAAAAGGGAGGTGTAAAGGGTTTCTATATTATTCATTGAGTGAAGGCTAAAAACATTGAAATAAGCCAGGCGCAGGTGGCTCACGCCTATTATCCTAGCTACTCAGGAGGCTGAGATCTGAGGATCACAGTTCACAGCCAGCTTGGGTAGGAAAGTCTGTGAGACTCTTATCTCCAATTAGCCACCAGAAAACAGGAAGTGGCACTGTGGCTCAAGTGGTAGAGCACTTGCGTTGAGCTGAAAAGCTAAGGGACGGTGCCCAGGCTCAGTGTTCAAGCCCCATGACTGACCAAAAAAAAAAAAAAAGAACTGAAATAGAGACCACTAGGAAATAGCAAACAAAAATAAGAAAATCACCAGAGAACAACTTGGCAGTTCTCTAAAAGTTACATATAAATTTATCATGTAACACAGGGTGTCACTCCTGAATACGAACCCAAGAGAATAAAAACATATGTCCACATAGACTGCTATAACAATGTTTATAGCTGTGCTATTCACTAAGCCACAGAAAGTGGACAAACAAATAGTAGCAAACCAATGAATGCATGAACAGAAGATGGTAGAGTCATACAATGGTATATGGTTTGGCAATAATGAAAGAATAAAGTACCATGCCAAACCACTATGTGGAAGAACCTTAAAAACATGCTAAGTGAAAAAGTCAAACAAAAAATAACAATGAGCTGGGCACCGGTGGCTCACATCTACAATCCTAACTACTTAGGATGCTGAGATCTGAGGATCCTGATTCAAAGCCAGCCTGACAGGAAAGTCCATGAGAGACTCTTATCTCCAATAAACTACTCAAAAAAAGCCAGAAGTGGCATTGTGGTTCAAGTGGTAAAGTGCTAGCCTTGAGCAAATGAAACCCAGGAACAGTGCCCAGGCCCAGAGTTCAAGCCCCAGAACTGGCAAAAAAAAAAAAAAAATCATAATGGTGGACCCACCATTATGACATGAACAGAAAAGACAAGCTTATAGTAACAAGAAGATTATTGATCCTCTGGACTCAGGGATGAGACTAGAGAATGAGTATAAATAGGTTTGAGGGATCTTTGGGGGATGATGAAAATGATCCGAATTAGTATTATGGTGGTGATAGTTCCCAACTCTGTAAAGTTATTAAAAATTACTGAACATTTGAAATGAGATAATTTTCTGGCATATAAAGTGTACTTCATTGAAGATAAAAATAATCAAATTCATTTGGCATGTTGAATTTGAAATATTCAAAAGGAGAGGTCCAGTAAACAGTTGGCCATATTACCTAAAGCTAGGATAAAATGCTGCCCCAGAGAGAGATTGTAAGGGCTTAGTGCATAGATAGTACTGAAGGCATGAGAATGAGAGAGATCGCCTAGAGGAAATGAAGAAACAAAGAGAGTGGATAGAATAAAGATTAATCGGGACCAAATTTTAAAAAAAAAAGAGAAGTACCATCTACAAAGAACACCAAAGAGCAGTCCAAGAAGTAGGAAGAAGCCCCAGTGAAAATGAACTGACCAAGGCCAAAGGAAAGGAGTGGTAAAAGTGCCAAGGGCCATTGAGGGGCCAGGGAGTTATAAACTGAAGCAAAGAGGGAAAAAAAGGCGCATTAGAAAAGTCTAGGTGGACATAGCTCTAAGGGGCTGTAACCTTGCAAGGTTGGATGCAAGGCTGCCTTTGAATGGATGGCAGACCGTGCTGATAGAGGGAGTAGACTGGACTAATAAGCCTGAAGGGTGCAAAATATGTATAATTTTCCGTGTGGGGCAAAGAGGGCCTGCAAAGAACCAGTGAACAAGTGCATTCTGGGAAGAGGATGGAGAAGCCACGACTTCAGAGACTTCACGACTGGAAATAAGTCACCAGAATGACAGAATCTAGTAATGGCTACTGAAGATCCTCAAAATACATGGCCTTGTGGACTTGTCCATGTAACCCCACTACTCATGAGCCATGTGGAGCTGTTTGCAGTTTCCCAAACATGTCATTCTCTTTCACACTGCCTTCTGTTCTCTCATACAACTTCCTCTGCAGGGGGTATTCACAAGCAAAGCCTCCTCCTTCCTCCCCACACTCCTGGGGCCCAGCTTCTTCCTCGCTCACTTACTCTTCAGCATTTGCCTCCTATTTCAATACCGATCAAGATTCAGCTCTTTTTTCTTCATCCCACACATGGGATGGGCTATTTCCTCCTCTACATCCTCACCTCACTGTAGACTTCCAACAGTGCAGAGGTGACACGTTGCATACATTCGTTTCCAGCCTGTCTGCTTCTGGAAAGAATTCCCCTTGCTTTTTCATTTATAGTATCTGACTCCTGGCAAATGCCTAACTAAATAAGTATCAGAAGATGAATCTTCCACTCAACCACCATGTGCTATATAACCTTTTTCTCTTTTCCAACTGAGGCCCTTTTAGGTGGCTGTCCGTAGCCAGGCTGCTGGACCTCATTGTGGCAAAGGTGGGCAAGATGGCGTATTAGTGGCCGTGATCCATGGTATTTTGTCCACACCTAAGGCAGAACTTCTCAGCGTTTCCAAAGCCCTACGTCACTTCCAAGGTTGCCAAGTAAAACACATCCAGTTAAATGTGGCTTTCAAATCAACAATGACTAATGTTTCAGTATAATATGTCTCTTTCAATCGTGAAGAGAGGGAGAATGAGACCCTTTAAAAGTATTCATTGTTTAGCCGAGATTCAAATTTAACTAGCTATCCGATATTGCTGTTTGTTCAATCTGGCCAACTCTGTTTCCCACCAGAGGGAAGCAGAAAGGGTAAGTGTCCCTCAGATCCTTCCTCATTGGCCCTTAATGCTAACGAATCTCCCTTCACTGCAGCCGCGCTAGAGTGTGAGCATCTACTGCGGATGCCATTGGCACCTGAGGAAACTCATTTGGCTGTCCAGTGCCACTTGGATGTGCTTCCGGAAAGCTGAGCTGAGCGACTAAGGAAAAGCTCTGGGTGGGCCTTTGCTGAGCAGGGTGTGTGGGAAGGCAAGCTCTCATTGTATGGTCTCTCACTTGTGTGGGGCTCTCCCTCAAGCAACCTTACACCGCCTATGTTTGACCAAAACTTTCCAAGGAGTCTTTTTTATTTTTTCTAGTAACTGTGTGGCCCTCTCGCCTCTGTACTCAGACAAGGGCTCTCTTTGGAAGCTAGGCCAGAGGAAAAGTCTGAAAAATGGCATCTCTAACCTCATCTAGGTCTCTACCATTGTAGTGGAACAAGAAATCAGACCATCAGGCTCGCTCATGGTTCTCCCACAGGAAACTACCCGCCAGTGGTGTGGCCACATGCTACCCAGGCCAAGTAGGAAAGCACCCGAAACACAGGGCAATTTATCCCACCTCTACCTCTCACTCCCAGACCTGAGCTCCCAGTAGGTGAAAATGTGTTGGGATATCGGATCATACAGAAGGATTGACAAATAGAAACAACTTCTCCCGTCAGGATATACAGGGAGCAGGAGAAGGAGGATGGGGAGGTGAAGATGAACGGTTGCTGGAAAGATTATATATAAAATGATCATCTTTTCTCTGTCTTGGCCAACAGAGTTGGGCAGCTATGATACAGATTTGTGACTTCCTAAAATCTGGACAGGGTGATAAGAGATTTTGTTTGTTTTTTTTTACACTCTGATATAACAGTAAAAGCCTTTCCAGTTCCAACGTGTTGGAGCTAGCCTCCAAGGGAGACAAAGAGAACCTCTGAACACCCATCTTTTACTCTGAGGTTAGCTACTGTGCCCCCAGCAGGATTCATTTCCAAAAGAAAAAGACCACTTTCTGAAACAAAGCCACCAAATCATCCTGAAAACCTCTACAGCTGCTGCCTCTGAAGTGACAGACAGGTGTTCCTTTCATGGTCTACATTTTATGACAAATGCATGGAAATGACACACCTCTCCCCCAACCCATCTCTCTCTCTGTCACATACACACACTAGGCCCACTTGGATTTTTTTTTTTGCCATCTCCTATCTGTCCTTGCAAATCTGGCCCATCCCTCACAGACCCTTGGCTCCTTCATGACCTACATGGTTCTCACCTTGCAATTTGGTTTTGGCCCATTTATTCTGGTGAGAATGATTAAATGAGAGTTACTGGCAGAGTTCTGACATGCACCTGCTGCTGGGGATGCCCATTCTCTCTGGGTATTTGCAAACTATTAGAATGTGTTCAAGAGTGCCAGATCTAGAATGTAAGTGACCAATGGCATGACAAAAGAGGAGTAACAAGGAGTGAAGCCCACAGCTAGCATCCTTGCTATGTCAAAAAAAAAAAAAGAATATGCTGGAACCAGGAATCAGGTGGTTCATATATGTAGTCTTGGCTAATAAGAGGTTGAGATCTGAGGATCATGATTTTAAGCCAACCTAATCCCTAAGACTTATTTCCAATGAACCAGCAAAAAAGTCAGAATGGAAGTGTGGCTCAAGTGGTAGAAAACCAACCTTGAATGAAGAAGTTCAGCAAGAGTTTAAGACCTTGAGTTCAAGCCCCAATAGACACATACACACACACACACACACACACACACACACACACACACACACACACACAGAATTTGCTGAATAGGGGAAATGTAGCTCAAAACAAATGCTAGTGAAAGCATCACATTTCCTACTGTCTGTTGCTTTTTTGTTGTTTTGTTTTAATTTGGTGAAAATTTCAGGAAGAGCCCTTATGGGATGGGTTTGATCTGTTCTGACCAGAGTGCTGAATCCTAGTAATTTCCCAGGATTGAATCAGGCACCAGAAAGATGCGATTTTCTTATTGCCACAGAATCTCAAAAACTGAATTAAGACAGCAGAAGTTTATTGAATGCCTAATCTGGAACAAGACTGAGGGCAGAGATGAAAAAGGAATAACCTATGTTCTCCAGGAGCTTACAAGCTAATGAGAGAACCAGCCATGCAAATACAGGCATGCAGTGAATTCTGGGTTTGTTGCATAATTTAGTCAAAGTATGATCCCTAAGACCCTTTTGGGAGTTTGAAAGGTCAAATTATTTCCATAATCATACTAAGACATTATTTAACTTTTCCAGAGGCTTCAGGGTGTGTGATAATGTCATTGACTTGACTGCTGATGGAAGAGATGCTTACGTATTATTGAATTTTAAAAATACTCAGTCTCAATTTCCAATGCATTAACATCAACACACAAAAGATGCATGCAGGCTGGGAAGGTGGCTCAGTGGTAAAGTGCTTGCCTTGCATGCCAGAGGCCCTGGGTTCGATTCCTCAGCACCACATAAGCAAAAAGAAAAAAAAAGCAAAAAAAAAAGATGCATGCAAAAGTTCTTCAAGGCTAAGCATGGTGGTTCTTTATTTCTGTTCTTGGTAGAGAACAAACTTCCCTACTCTGCCCCTGTTTTTATTATTTCAGTGTCACGATATTTTAAAGCAAAACTCCACATAATTTCACTGTTAGTCATGTAGGATTAGAAAAAATAAACCCTATACTTTCTTCCTATAAGGATGAAAATGAAATCTGGTTTGTAATACAGCTTAGTAGCAAGAAGTCTTTTATAAAATTATGCAAATATATCTGGCAGTTCAGACAGTATGTAACCTAATTTTCACTTGCCTTTGATCTTTTTCCTGTCTCTGTCCTCCTTAAACCTTGAGTTCTAACTAGCTCTCACTGTTCTCAAATCATCATTGTTTTCTGGAAGTGAACCTCACAGCTGGGAGCCTTTGTTGACAAATTGTTTCATCTCCTCTGGGTCTTAAATTATTTTCTCTGACTCTGAATTAAAAATTCACTGAATGTTTCCAGATACTGTATTTAGGATCATAACTCCATTCCTCTTAGCTTTGTGTAAATTCCAGCTCTCCCTCCATCCCCCATCTCATCATCCTCCAAAGAACTTAGACTCATTCTTATTGTCACATTTTTAATGTTGGTGTTGTTTTTCCTGCTTTATTATGAGTAACTTGCAGAATTCAAGATTTGCTTTGTGGCAGGGTAATTTTCATGATGGGGCTAGTTGAAGAATTTAACAATGGCACATCTTAAATTCTTTCTTTGGGGATTATACCTTAAAGACGCCTTTTTTTCATTTCAATCAATATTATTTTATGTGATCAGATACACATAGGCATTGTCCCTTTGTGTTCCTCTCCTAAAGAAATCTTAATATAGATATACTGAGGTGGTTATTTCTATGTTGTCTCTGGTAATAAGTTGCTAGGAGGTTCCTCCTCTTGGCCCTCTTATCATTACTAAATCCATTTTTCCCTGGGTCATGGGAATCCATCCATTCTTTCCTTCTATCCCGAGTCTCTTCATCCCAGCACCCTTTCCATGTTTCTTGTCCCTCCATAGCATTTGTGTGACCCAGTTTAATAGCTTAGAGCTTTTTTTTGGCACTCATTGCTTCTTTATTCCCTGCTAAAGTCATAAGTGTATGTTCTGTTGCACTTGCCTGAGAGTCTTGAACTAGTCTTGGGTTTCCCGCCATCTGGGTTCTGGCTGGATTGCAATTTCCCTTTGATGTTGTAATACTTTGCCATTGAACTTGAGTGTGAGGCTTATGAGGCTTGTTTACTTTTATTTATTTTTATCTCCTAAGATGTGCACTTCTTTTTTTTTTCCCCTCCTTGAGTTTATTTTGCTGTTTTGTGCTGTTATTTTTAATTGCTTCCGACTGGGGGGTGGGGCTGTGAGTGAGATTTGGCTCTCTTTGGCTCTCTTTGCTATTACTCACATTTCTCCAAAAACTCCACATTCTCTCTCTCTCTTTCTCTCTCTCTCTTTCTCTCTCTCTCTCTTTCTCTCTCTCTCTCTTTCTCTCTCTCTCTATCTCTCTCTCTCTCCCTCTCTCCCTCTCTCTCTCTCTCCCTTTGAAAAACCACTTTTGAAAGGCCATTGATCCCTGGTATAAATGGTGTCAAGAAGGAGATGCCGGAGTGGGGGTCGGAGGGGGGGGGGGGGAGGGATGCTCAGGAATCCAATCCTGCACAGCCATGAGCTTGGCCATCTGGAAGTCTCCTCTTGCTCAATGAAATGGAGTAAACATTGTCCATTATGAAATCTACCACGCAGGCTGCCAGGGACGAATGGGATCCCACCCAAAGCCAATCGCTGCTCTGACAGGGAAATTGGCTAGCACTGCCTTGAGACTACTCCAGCCTCCCCCGTCCCTGATGTCACAATTCAGAGGCTGCTGCCTGCCTAGGAGGTTGTGGAACGCTCAGTGGGTTCTCTCTGTGTGTCCTACAGGACTCCTTGGGCCAGTTCCCTGTCTGATGGCTTTTATGAACAAATATGTGCTCTCTCTTCTGGTGCTCTTCTTGGCCTTCTACTACTATTCTGAAAATGAAGAATTCAAACCAGGTAAGTACCAATATGTCTAATTTTGGAGGAATAGACTAGAAAACACAGGGTTGCTGGAGTGTTCCTAAGGATCAAGATATGTTCATGATGCTTAGTTGACAATAAAAAAAAAAAGTGGGGGTGGGGAAGGATGAGGGGAATCTGTATCTCTGTGTCCTCCAGGCTATCCACAAATTGTGGGCAGGAAAGGTGTGAGAAGGGGTAATCATGCTGTCAAAATCTTGCCAAATAAGTAAGCATCCTTAATGGACAAAGGTTTCAAATTGACACAAATGAAGGCAATACTCAAATTTACAATTAGCCAAAGAACTGGGCTTTATGGAGAGACTGGTAATTGGGAAGTTAAAAAAAATGGATGCCAAAGTTGATGGCTAAGTAGAAGTGAGAGAAAACCCCTGGAGTTCCTATAAACACGTGTCTTTTGATTGCTTTCAAAATTTCCTTTTCAGTTGCGTAAAATTAGATGAGTTCAGAACTGTCTAGAATGCCAGCATTTTAACTGAACCATGACCTCTCTGACCTTGTTCTTAGGATCTCTGCACATGGATATTTTGAGAAATGACAGTGGGAAGGCTTGGATTTTTTCATTAACCAAGCCAAAACCCCACTTTAGAACATGTTTATGAATGACTTGAATTGCTTTTTCAGTGGTTTACAGTTTAGGACAAAGTGGTCTGAGTTCAGAACCTTTAGAGATGGAAAGTAGCACGAGGCTGCCCATATCCTGAGAGGGAGAAGAAATGCTGCTGCCAGTTCAAGGACGGTTCTCACTTCCTTTTCTGGTGTTCTAGAGATGCTCCAAGGAAAGAAAGTGATTGTGACAGGGGCCAGCAAGGGGATTGGAAGAGAAATAGCTTATCATCTGGCAAAAATGGGGGCCCATGTGGTGGTGACAGCAAGGTCAAAAGAAACTCTACAAAAGGTGATGGTTCTTTGCCCGCTTATGTTCTCATATATACTTATATAGATACAGAACTAGTGTCTCTCTGTCTCTCCCCCCTCCCTTCTCTCTCTCTCTCTCTCTCTCCCACTTCCTGTCAATCATACACTTTCATATCCAGGTTTACATATTTGTAACAATATAGAAATATTCATCCCTACACCCCTCAACTGTGTGTGTGCACACACGCATTGCATATTCATTCAGCTTCACACCTATTCACCAACATTTACCCATGGAATCACAGAGACCTATGTTCAGATACTGAATTTTCAGTACCTGCTCATGAATACATGTCTTCATGCCCATGTAGACTCTCAGGCAAATACCCTCTCATAGATTCACAAGTCCAAGGATGTACTAACACTCACAATCCCAGAATTATAGGCACAGTAACAAGTACCCATGCCCTCAATGCATTCAGGAACATGTATTTACAAACCCCACACGAATATAATTCATGGACCTAAAATCCCAGCACAGACATGATTTATCTATTTAAATCCCATCATGTTTCAAAAATATATTTCAGTCAGAAGACAATGATTATGAAAGTATGATTGGAAATCCACAGCAGGGTGCCATGGGCTCCCACCTGTAATCCTAGCTACTTAGGAGGATGAGATCTGAGGCTCGCAGCTGAAAGCCAGCCTAGACAGGAAAGTCTGTGAGACACTTATCTCCAATTACCACCAATCAGCTGAAAGTAGAGCTGTGACTCAAGCGCTAGCCTAGTAGCAGTGCATGCACGCATGTGCATACATACACATCATTTCTTATCCAATCAAAGCTGTAAGCAAACTAATTTCAGCTCCAGTTACAGAGAAGTCTACAAAGCAAGACTGACACCATTTCTGTCGTGTCTCTGCAGGTGGTATCCCACTGCCTAGAACTTGGCGCAGCCTCAGCACACTACATTGCTGGCACCATGGAAGACATGGCATTTGCAGAACAATTTGTTGCTAAAGCAGGAAAACTCCTGGGTAAGGTTGTTTCTCCTCTTTGCTTCTCTGGACTTCACTTTTGAAAGTCACCCTAAAGCATTTGGTAGGGGAAGTGAAAGGGACCATCCCTAGATGGTTTCTCTGAACATAGCCATCTCTTGCAGGAGGACTAGACATGCTTATTCTCAACCACATCACCAACTCTTCATTGAGTCCTTTTCATGATGATATCCACTATGTGCGAAAAAGCATGGAGGTCAACTTTTTCAGTTACGTGGTCCTAACCGTAGCCGCCTTGCCCATGCTGAAACAAAGCAATGGAAGCATTGCTGTCGTCTCTTCAATGGCAGGTGAGTGGGGCCAGGATCCATGTGGAAGGTAGGGAGTCAAAAAAAAAAAGTGTGGGGAGCATAAAGTTCTATCCCCTGGCATTTTGGAGAATTTGAATGCAAATCAGTAACCCTAATTAAGCTGAATCAGTGAAAGGAGAAGTGAAATTGCTGTCATTAATACTGATAACATTGTATAAACTTGAAGTTGAAATGCTCACAGTGATACTAAGCAAAAGATGATTCACAGATATGTACAGAGAGGCAGATTTACTAATTTAGGACCTTTGTAGGTAAACTCAGTAGGGGCATACAGATGGACTAAAAGAGATACTGCTAATAGAACTAGTGAGTTGTGAAGAAGCAAGAAAAAAAAAAGTAAGTGGGCTACAAAATCCCTAAAAGTGACTGAGAGAAAGTAGTCATTCAGGGTACCCTGGAGACACCTGATCATCTGTGATCAACAGACAAGGAAAAGAACACTTGGAGAGGCTGCTAGAGTTACTGATTCTCCTGGCCTTCCAAATAGGATACACATGGCTTTGTTTCCTTCATAACCTAAGAGCCATATGTTGGTGATTTTAATGGGTTCAAAAGTAGAAGTGGGAATTGAAATGCTTTGACAACATATAGCTAGGGCAAAATGAAGTCAACAGTATCAAAGACAATAGTGAAAGAAAGAAAACAAAGTTTGGGGCTGGGAAGGTGGCTCAGTGGTAGAGCACTTGCCTTGCATGCCTGAGGCCCTGGGTTCGATTCCTCAGCACCACATAAGCAAAAAGAAAAAAGCCGGAAGTGGTGCTGTGGCTCAAGTAGTAGAGCGCTAGCCTTGAGCTGAAGAGCTGAGGGACAGCGCCCAGGCCCAGAGTTCAGGCCCCACGACCGGACCCAAAAAAAAAGAAAAGAAAAAAAGAAAGAAAACAAAGTTTGGGGTTGGGAATGTGGCTTGAAGGAAGACAACTTGGCTAGCATACATGAAGTTCTGGGTACAGTCCCCAACCATTAAAAAAACAAAAAGAATTAACTGGGGATATTCTCCCTTGATAGTCTAGTTTAAACAACCAACTAAGTAGGGTGGAAAGGTAGGAAACATGGACAGAGAAATATTCATGAAGAGATCTCTGCGGGGTGATGCTCCTGATAAAATGATAGTAGTAACATTAGAAAATATTACCAGTTTAAAAAAAAAGTCAGAGAGTTTCTAGCTTGGGAGATTCTTTGGCCTATTTCATCATGCATCCAAGAGGGAAGTTCTACATATCTCTGCTCTTGAATCAGAAAGATGTGTTTGGGTGACCCAAACAGCACATCAGAATCTGCTATCTAAATGTAGTTCCTAGCAATGTGAAAACAAATGATCTAGAAGATTCTGTAAACTGTGAAATGCTTTGCAAATACCAGTTCTTACTGAAGGTAATAGCACCATCCATGCAGTAAAGAGTTCCCCTTTCTGGCTGAGGAAAGGCCAGCATCGTGACTCAGTAAAGGGGTAATGTGTTTTTGCTCCCGCCAAACAGAGTGATTGATATGCATCCCTGTGCTTCCCGGCCAACACAGACGCCTCACCCCTCCCCAGCCACAGACTCTCTTGCACTGAAAGGAAGGGAGAGCTTCCAGATGCATACTGAGTGGGAGGGTGCTGGGCACATCCCCAACCCATCCAGGGCATTGGCCAAAACCCTCACAGTCGTGGTGTAAGTGGCTTTAATGATTTCAGTTGATTAAATCCAATATGTACTCTAGGCAAAGGATGTTTCCCTTTCTGTTGGAGAATTTAACTTTTATAGCATATTCAATCTACATATGCTTGGAAAGAATAAGAATTTTTGCAGAAGCCCAAAGGCATAATCAACATTTGATAATGACTGGGAATGTGGCTTAGTGGTAGAGTGCTTGCCTAGCATGCATGAAGCCTTGGGTTCCATTTCTTAGTACCATATAAACAGAAAAGGGCAGAAATGGCACTGTGGCTCAAGTGGTAGAGTGCTAGCCTTGAGCAAAAGAAGCTCAGGGGCAGTGCCCTGGCCTTAAGTTCAAGCCCCAGGACTGGCAAAAAGGAAAAAGGAAAAAAAGAAAATTGATATCCTTTGTTTCCTCTATATCATTTACAGCTATGAAATGACACTTGGTAATTTCCATGAACTCTGGGATATGGAAATTTAGGTGTACTACTTTCCCCAGTTTCTGTTGTCAATATAACTTAAAGTTTAGCCCTTTTCCTTTGAAGCATGTGTGTGAACTCACACAGTATCTACGCATTGTATTCTCTCCCTAACTAAAGAATAATTCTGTGTTCCATGATGTATTCTTTTGAACATGTTCATTAATCCTTCCTTCTTTTTTTTTCTTCTGTTTATGTGATACTGAGGAATCAAACCCAGGGCTTCATGCATACTAAGCAAACACTCTATCACTAAGCCTCATACCCAGCCCCTAATCCTTCCTTCTTAATACCTGAACTCTACAAACACAGGATATTAAATATTAACTAAGTTCAGAAAAAAGAGTAGTGGGGTGGCATTTAATCATTTCTTCTAGGGAATGAATTAAGTCTTTTATTGAATAGCAATGATTATTATTCTCAATGCATTTTCAGGTGTTACATGAATTGAATGAAAATCATAAGATATTCTTTAAAGGTTCAGCTACTTCTTTAGTATCAACAGAGACAATATAAAAGCTTCTGGCCACCTTCTTATCGTGCATGTCCATCCATAATTCAGCACCTTTTTACTTTAGCATCTACTGATCAAATTTCTTGAAAATGTAACATCTAGTTAGATTGATTACTCGCCCCTCCTTCTATCATGTGCTATTAAGATATACTCTAGCTACTATTACAAAAATTCAAATTTACAATGCCTTAAGCAAATCTAAATTTCTCTGAGTCCCATGAAACATGTTAGCTCGGGGATGCATTATAGCTCTGTCCCATACATCTATCTAAGAACCCTTCTATCTCAGAACCACCATCCCTCTGGGGTTATTTTTCATCTATATGTCTGAGCTGGCTTATTTTTTAATCTATTATAGCTAGAAAAAATGGAGAAAAAAGGGTACAACCTGAAATCTGTATTCCTCTCTTCTGCTACAGCTAGCTATACATAAACTGCTTATTCAAAGTAGACCTACATCCAAGTAAAAAGAAGATGTTTCACTTCCTTAATGGATATTGGCATTGCTAAACTGCTAATCATTCTTCCATATCACCCATGCGAAGTAACACAAAAAGGCTAGAGAAAATGCCCTTCAAACGTCCCACATGTGCACTACACACACACACACACACACACACTTTCCCCAGATCCACACCCTCACGTTAAAGGTCTATCACAAAATCAAAACATCTTCCACCAGGCAGTAAATACTAGATACAGCAGCTGAAAAATAGAAAGAATGAAAAGAAAATGACAAGACAGTGTTTGTTAAGTAAACTGAAATAGAGGTATTAATACTTGAATTTGACTTCCAAAATAATTACTGGATTGGGCAGAGAACATTTGAAAAGATCTGGGGAAAAGGGTTGTTTTTTAAATCTATGATTATTCAAAATGAGTCTTCTTAGGTTGAATTGTAGGTAAAGCTGATTCCATGTTTTTAGTCCCTTGGCTTTGTGAACCCCAACTCATATGGGCTAGATGCATGATGGCTGGAACAGAGCATTTAGTGTTGCCCCTTGTGTCCCTGCAGCAAAGCTATGGGCAAATCTGTCATCTGTCTGCCCCTTTCTCCTGTCAATGTCAGCTTATCTCCCTACCTTATAGTCTTTTTCAGGCTGAGCCAGCTCCTCCATGCTTCTGCTACATTTTGATAGGCTGCCTTTAGAAAACCTACTTCCTCTCTATTTTACTCTTTTGGTTTCGAGTTACCCTAACACTATAATAACAATAACAACAACAATAATAATAATAGAATGCTAGGCAAATGTGAGTGCAGAGCACTCACTTTTTTTTTTGTATCAAGGAAAATCAAAGATGTATTTCAAAGCAAAAGTAGACAAAATAAAGGACTGGATTTCTCTTTAAGTCTTTGTCATTGTTTTGTTCTGTTTCATTTAGTTTGCTAGTACTGGAGTTAGAATATAGGATCTCATGTTGCTAGGAAGGTGCTCTACCACTTGAGCAACATCTCTAGCCTAAGACTGAGTTTCTCAAACATTCAAAATGAAAATACAGCAAAAAGAATGTCAAACTTGCCCACAACCTCTAAATATTCAGACCTCTTTGGAAACTCCACAAGTGTCTTATTTATCTATTCATTTTTCTCCAAAGAAGTCTTTTAAAAATAAATCAACTTTCAAAAAATACATATATATATATACATATATAAATATATATAATGTTTTGTCCTATTCAGATGCATTCCCTTTCCTATTTTTCCACATTTTTATTACCATCAATTAATTATACAAGTAGGTTTCATTGTAATATGTCCATATGCATCCAATATCCCTTGATCAGACTCACCCTCTTCCCAAACCCATCTCAATGCCTCTCTTCTCTGATTTGCTCATTTGCAACATTGTTACATACTATTTTAACAATGTAATTATGTAGTTTTTTTGTGTTGACTAACCAGAGAAAATATCTCATTAAAACGTTTTAGTAGGAAACCTCACACCAAGGAATGAAGTGAATTATTGAACTCTAATCTATTTGTCAGGTGAGGGCTGCCTGTGTGGTCAAAACCAATTTGGAGAATTCAGTATTATGGGGTTAGAGGAGGAGGGAAGAAAAACAGGGTTTCTCAACTACATGTATCAACTAACAGGATTTGGAATGTCCATAATGTTGCTTTGTATAAAGACAAGAATGTACAGATGTTAATCTCATCCTAACTTCAGTTCTATCTAGCACCCACTCCTTCCTGAAAGGTGAGCCAACTTGTCAATGTATGGTTGTTCGGTTGTGCCATGGGGGATGTGGTGGGTGGTGGTGAAGGGCTAAAATCTAGGCTCTGAAAGGATCTTGGAACTAGAGCCGAAAGCAGCAATTTGTCCCTGGTTGAAACTGTTCTTACTG